CAATTACATTAAGTTTATGCACAGAGTCAATATTTGCAGTGTTGGCCCTTCTTTTTCAAGACCTCTGCAAATCACCCTGGCATGTTGTCAATCAACTTCCGTGCCAAATCCTGACTGAGGGCAGCCCATTCTTGCATAATCAATGCTTGGAGCTGGTCAGAATTTTCAGAATTTTTGTTTGTCCACCTGCTTCTTGAGGATTGACCACAAGTTCTCAATGGGATTAAGGTCTGAGGGGTTTCTTGGCCATGGACCCAAAATGTCGATGTTTTGTTCCCTGAGCCACTTTTGCCTTATGATACAATGCTCCGTCGTGCTGGAAAAGGGATTGTTCATCACTAAACTGTTCTGCCATTCTTTATTCATGGCTGTGTTCTTAGGCAAAATTGTGAGTGAGCCCACTCCCTTGGCTGAGAAGTATCTTAGGGTGCTTTATTGTTAGCATGACACAGGTCTGATGGTAGAGTTCACCTTTTTTTCCTCCAGACCATCTTTTTTCCGGATGCCCCAAACAATCCGAAAGGGGATTCATCAAGGAAAATGACTTTACCCCAGTCCTCAGCAGTCCAATCCTTGTACTTTTTGCAGATTATCAGTCTGTCCCTGATGTTTTTCTTAGAAGGACGTGGCTTCTTTGCTGCCCTTCTTGACACCAGGCCATCTTCCAAAAGTCTTCGCCTTACTGTCCATGCAGATGCACTCTTACCTGCCTACTGCCATTCCTCAGCAAGCTCTGCACCGGTGGTGCCCTGATCCTGGTTTTTTGGGATTAAGTTCATATTCATGGCAAAAAGGGACTTTGCAATTTATTGCAAATCATCTGATTACTCTTCCTAACATTCTGGAGTATATGCAAATTGCCATCATAAAACTGAGGCAGCAGACTTTGTGAAAACCAATACTTGTGTCAATCTCCAAACTTTTGGCCACGACTGTAGTAATACATGATTACTGTCTTTTGGCAATATTCCTAAGAAGTAAGATGGTTCTAAGGTTTTATTTTAGACAGTCCCAAAATGTGTGCCTTTCCAATCGTAATCCAGCATTGATCTGATTGTCCTGAAAAGTCTAATCTTGACTTTCCATTCAAATTCCTTTGAAATGGGGCTATTTATTTTATGTCCTCCTCTGCATGACACTTCCCAGTCCTGATCTGAAGTTATGGTGTCCATCTCCAGCTCCCATTTTCCCCTCATCTTTGCCATATTTTTAGAGTGTTTTTAACCCATTGATTAATAATTTTATTTCTTCTCCATAAATCTTGATTCAGAAATGGAATTGCATCTAAAGGCACTTTTGGACAATCACTCTGTTTCATCCTGACCCCACATAGTTTTGTTATGTTGAAATATCCATGCAACCATTGATCTAAGCTGCACGGAAGCCCTGAACCGCATTTGATGAGTTTTTTTTTTGGAGACAATAAGTCGTTATTTCGACATAAGTCGTTATTTCGACATAATGATAGGTATAAATTATAATGCATTTATAGTCTGCCATGTGCTATCAGCATCAAGCACATATATAGTAAGCGTGCTTTTTTTGCTCAAGAAGTCGCGATCATAGCGCGTTGGAAAGAGTTTAATCATGGAACTGTGGATTCTTTTTGTAATTTTCTACAGTAAACCACTTAATAGGCTAATAGTCTAAAATAGTCTTATAAGCTATCGTTTTGTTACAGCTTTCTTGCAGTTCAGCAATAGGGGGCAGTTGGTAGCCTAGTGGTTAAGGGATTCGCCCCTTGATCGGAGGATCGTGATTTTGAATCCCACTCAGGTACCATCCCCACTCACTGCTCCCCGGGTGCTGTATTGATAGCTGCTCACTGCTTCGCTTGGTGGGTCAAATGCAGAATGTTCTGCACTGGTGTGTTTCATATATAACAAATAATCACTTTCACTTCACTACATGTTCATGTTTCTACAACTTTGTTTTGATAGCTTCTTATGGCTTTGCTGTAGCCTACATTGAAATGTATACTAGTGTCTACCGTTTTTTTTTATTGTGGATTAAATAAGATCTACTGGTATAGATTTCATCACTTAGGATTCGACACTTTTTTTGGGTCAAGTCAGATTTTGGTTGTTCATCAGTTCATTATGTGGGTGGGGCAGTACAATTACGGTATCTCCTAATAGGTCGGCTGAGTGCGTATGTTCGAAAACCATCACATGCAGGGTTTATTCGCCGTGGTTAAGGCTGTTCATGTTCTTACCACTGAATCACTCTTCTGTGCACTGTAAACAGCAGCCCAATAATTAGACATACGGATCAAACTGCACCAACGTAATAACGTGTGACGTAATTCTGTCCTGGCTCATTGGTCAATGTTATTCTGATTTTCAGTTCAGATGTAGATGAATTACCCAGGCAATGTTTTAGAAACGAATTAGTGGAATATAAAATGTTATGAAATGCTACACACAATAAGTTTATAGGTCATTTATGACAAATGATAAGAATGATATGGAGCATATTAATGGTCTACATAAAGTTAACATCAGTAAGGGTTAACTTGGAATGAAAGTACAAGCTATGTAAAATTCCCAGAAATACATGGGTCGTTAGTGTACCAAGTAAGCTACTGATGTTAACAGTGCATCAGCATGACTTAATGCATTCTTTAATATTGGTGCAAAGCTTAACATGAGTTATGTCGAAATAACGAGATAATCTCGTTATAACGACTTAGTAAGTCATTATTTCGACATAATATCTCGTTATAACGACTTGTGTCGAAATAACGACATATTGTCTCCGAAAAAAATTCATCAAATGCGGTTCAGGGCTTCTGTAAAGCTGAGTTGCCACAGCAACCTTTTTAATTCACTAACATTTGTTTTTTGTAGACTATCTTTAGCCTTGTTGCCTTCAGTGCCCCTTCACATATTCTAATCTGTTGTATTTGTGCTGTGTGCATGCCCAACGGTATGGTGGCTGTGGGTCACTACTCCCGACTTTTGGCAATCAACAAGTTAATGAGTTTGACACGTTTGGAAGCCGTCACTAGGCAATTCTTATGAGACTCATAAGACCCATAGGAGATGTTTATTATATAATTTGTTAATGTATTATCATTTCCTATTTTTAAATGCATATAATTATATTATTGAAAGTGATTAGTTGTCATTGTTGGCACACCACAGTACACAACAACAAAATGCTTCCTCTGCATTTAACCCATATGTGACATAGCAGTGGACAGCTAATTGAGCACCCAGGGATCAGTGCTTGGGAGCAGTAACTTGCTTAGGGTACCTCAGTGGTCCTTTGCTGGTTGGGGAATCAAACCAGCAATCTTTCGATTACAAGTCCACTTTCCTACCATTAGGCCACCACCACAGGTATCTGTGTTTTTCTTACTTAACTCATTTTAAAGTTTTCTAGTTACCAAGTTTTGTAATTGCATTTCCTTAACCCAGTTTTTCCCATTGGATATGCATATTTTAGTATAAGAGTTTAGTTAATGTGAGGTTTTTCAGGAACACATTAGTTGCGTTATAGCAGGACTGACTGTACTATCTGCTTCTTAGGTCAGGTAGTTTGAAGCTAAACTAAACAGCCATTTTTCATGATTTTTTTCATGATTAATATTAAGGGTGGAACGATGCACAAAATTCACAGTTCGGTACAAACCTCGGTTGTAAGTAGGTTTATGGTTCAGTGAAATTGCGGTACAGCCTTGAAAACAGAATTTATTCTGGTATTATTTATTAAAACCACAAACACAATTAGGAAAAGTTGTAAACCAAAGGCAATGCATACATTGACATGTCTGAACAACAAGATATGCTTATTTGCACATTGTAAAACAAGTATCACATTTTAAATATATAAACTTTATAAGAATCATTATGAACTAAATCCCAGTCACTTATCTGTAACTGAATTTGCTTTTGCTATGCCATGGATGTTTCTGCCTTGGTCCAGTCCTTCACACACTCGGATGATGTCTCAAACGAGTTAGCATGTTTGATTCAGAAACATATTTGAGCTTGGTATAACAGAACTGACAGGCAGTCTTGGTTTTATTAGCTTAATAGTGCATTGTTGAAGGACATTATGATGAATGTTACTGGTTCCACCATTATGGTTTGTGCTGGAAACAGATTTACGTCATGCGTCATGTCAGACTTAGCAAGGGAGAGTTTGAGAACCACTGTGACCCTACATGGAACAAGCGGGAATGTAAAATTAATGAATGAATGGTCTATAGTAAATAAGTAAATGTAACATACTTCTGTTGGGTCTACGAGGAGTTAAAAAGTAATGGTCATGGAGTTTTTTTGTAAAGAAATATACAGTAGAAGGCTGAACTGAAAGCAACATCATAAATCTGATGTTTTGCTTTGTGTGTAACCTAAGCCTGCTTCCCTTCCAAAGGTGGAAGTCACCAATCAGTCACTGTCTGATATCAACAACAGGGTTTCTTGTCAGATGATATCCATCAGCTATAATATCGTCAAATCACACAAGCCTAGTCGAGAATGTGTATTTGCACAGTTTTTTTCTCTTTTATTTGGTATTTTGTTTTAACCAGTGAAATGAAACCCAAACTAGTTCCTGTCTTCCTGTCCAGTTTTTATGTTCGGCTGATTTATTGAATTCCATACAAATATTGTCCTTGTCCTTGCACTAGCAAAAGATCTTTAGAAATGAATCTGTGCTCACTGAAGCATGCATAAATAAAGCCTGTAACTGTTAAGATGAAAATGGCCTTCTGTGTGCATAGATGTTGCTCTTCCAAAGCAGGTTGGTGGCCTCTCATGCTGGCAGCTGTTCTCCACCTTACAGGCTCTTTCTCTACAGGGAATCCCACTTCACTTGGAGGAAGATGGAATTGGCCAATAGTTAAAGCTCCTTACCTAAAATTTGGTCACCTTCCTTGCTCTGTCATTCTGCTTCAAGCGCTATAAGTGCTCTACAGCTTGTCATTGGTGTGGTGGGCACTGATCCTAACGTACGTGTACGTGTGTGTGTGTGTGCATTCGTGCATGTAGACGGTGGCGAGGCACGCTGTGCCGAGCTGCACAGGAGGTGTGAGGAGCTGGAGATGCAGCTAAAGGCCAAAGAGGAGGAAAACACAGAGCTGATGCGTGATCTGGAGCAGAAGACCGCCATGATCTCCGTGCTGGAGAACACCATCAAGGAGCGGGAGAAGAAGTACCTGGAGGAGCTGAAGCTGAAGAGCCACCGGCTGGCCGTGCTGTCGGGCGAGCTGGAGCAGCGGGCGGGTACCATCGCCTACCTCACTGCACAGCTGCACGCTACCAAGAAACGACTGCTGTCTGGTGGCTCCTCCGAGGGCAGCCCTGGGGGCAGCCCTGCCGCATCTTATAAGCCAGCTCCGCCCCCACCTCGGGAGCAACAGCCAGACACACCACGCCGGCGCATGCGCAAAAGCCTGTCGCAGCCACTGCACGCGGACTATGCTGAATTGTGCCGGGTGGGTGCGGATGGCCGGCGGCTGGCACTGCGGGATGCACTGGATGCTATGCCCGACCCGACGCCGTTCCTGCAGGCGCGTGAGTTGGCTGCGGAGGCCTCCCTGCCACGTGAGCGCCCTGCTGTCATCCCGCCCATCTCCCGTGAACGCTCCCCAGCTCCTCCCGACCCTGCTAGTCCACGACACGGCCTCTCCCAGCAGCCTAGGGCCCATGTGGGTGTGGCCCACCGCATACATCGATCAGCCCCGCCCACAGCTGCACAGCCCGAGATCCAGACACTGGCCGTAGATCAGGTCAATGACGGCAAGGTGGCGAGGAAGGAGTCGGGCACAGACAGAACAGTGTGAGAGCCCGCCTTGCCTGCCCCCCGCCATGCTGCAGCCGATGCAGCAGTGAGCGACACAAAAACGGCACCACAAAGGTGACACCGTGTCCTTGGTCCTCCACGCATGCCAAAATGATGTCCCCTCATCTTTTTAGCGCATTGCCTCGCATCACCTGTGCATCCCAACAGACATGTTACAGAGGCAAACAAAATCCACACAGCTGACAATGAGGCGCATCTGCCCCCCCCCCCCGTCTGCAGTTACAGTACATGCTGCGCTGCACTCAGCTTACACCCTGCCAGAATTATTAACCCAGTGCAGTGTCAGCAAGCTTCATGTAGCGACCTGCAGCAAAGTGCTACTGATGTGTGTTTTCTAATTAAACGACTTATTTGCTGAATCCTCTTCCTTTTTGCACTGTCTGCCTGTGCCCTGGATTTGTGCACCACAAGTACTAAAAACTTGTAACAGAGCAGAGAGGAGAGCATGGTTTCATGCTGCATCCCTGTTTGGTGCCTGGGACCCAGTCACTGCGCGGGAAAGAATCAAGGAACCAACGTGAAGCATGTTGAATCACCACTTATTCCCACCCGAGATTCTTATCATAATAATCATCATCATCATATAAGGAGATGGATTCCAAAGGGGATGTGCATTTTCCTGGTCATGTGTAGACAAAGGTTTGTAATACTATGCTGGCTAGCCTATAAGCAACACTTATCTGTACAAATTGCAGAAGTGTTTTTTTTGCCTAGTTTTGCTTATTCACCAAAAACAGCTATAAAAATCCATATACCTTTAAATACACTGAAATACTTTGGTTTTTACTGTCTGTGTACTGCTTAGTGCCTCCTGAACTAGCCTTTTGAGGAAATTGAAGTCTTTCGAAGTATAGCTGCCATCTCCTGGGTACAGAGGCACGTTTGTTGCACTTCTGCCTGGTGAATGGTGCCGGCACAGCCCTAACACGACCTACACTCACTATGTTCAAATAGTCACTCTTCCATTAGGGTCGGGTCATTATGTGCGCACAATTCTGTGTGTTCACCTATTGACATAGATGTGTGCTTTTACCAAAGGGGACATTCGAGGGACACCTGCAATGGCCCATGTAACATCTTACTGTAGCTGCTCTGATGCCGGTACTTGCATAAGGAAGTGAGACCAGGATTCACCTGTGGACTGTAGAGCAGGAATTTCTCATGGGTTGTTAAACATTTAAACTGGCCTTTTCCTAGAGGTCCCTCATTCAGAAGGAGCTTTCTGGTACAGCTACCTTTAATTGTGTCAACAGATGTGCATTGTGAAAGAAATAATTCACTGTTATGCTATAATTGTGCCTGTATAAATATGCAATATATATACATGCACAATTCAATATGAGACATATTCCACCTTGAACCCAATGCCAAGGTATGATGGTGGTAACAGTAGTTGTTCCTTATGCTATGACTCTTATACCAGTCAAAGTGTTAAAATATTTAACTTGCTGTATGTATAAAAATAGTTTTACCCAAGTTTTGTGCCAGCAAATACTGGAAGGGTGGAGGCAGCTTTCAATGAAAACCGTCAGGAATGTCACAGTCACCCGCTAATATTAAGTGGCCTATGGCACCATTTCCCAGAGTGCAACAGCACCAGTCTGTTCACCTGACACTACAGCTCCTGAGCTCAGCATCACATGGTCACAATGGAGGTGCATTATTCAGGAGCTGAGTGAGAGAGGCCAGGCTCCCCCTGTAGAGCGACAGTGAAATGAGTACTGCTCTGACATCTGTTGCATTTTGGCACAACATGCTGATCTGTTCTGCTCTGTACCACCACTGCATTGCTGCTCCTGGTTAAAATGCATTTTGAATTTGAATCTGTAAACCATTCTGAATGACATCTGCCAGACGATGTATGTAAGTAATAAACAATAAATATGCTGAACAAAATAAACTTCTGAAAGTTCTGTTAACACATGCTACTAGCAGCAGCCTGCACTGATAGATGCCGAGCTGCACAACTGGCCAGTTTGCTAGGCCCCTTTTCCACAGATGTATAAATGCTGGCCATGTGTGCTGGGGATTCCTTGATTGCTAACAAAGCAAATAACAGTCTGTGGCCATCCTGTCACTCCTCATCTTTAACTGGTTTTCTATTGGCCACAAAAGTTGCATTGGATAGTCTGTTTGTGTCTCCGTTAGCAAGTTCCATTCTACCACAGAAGAGACAATGATACTCTCGCAAAAACAGTTTTAAATGTACATATATTGTGTTTTTTATATATATATATATATATATATAGAGGTTGAGTTGCTGCAATGAATTTTCAGCAAAAAGGACTAGCCTGCTGCATAATTTTTTCACTTAGATTTTTGGGGTGTCTTTGAATTCAGCCTTCTGTAGGTTGATAATTTTCATTTCCATCAAACGATGTGGCATCTCTTTGTTCCTAACACATTACCCAGTCCATATCAGTATAGATATCTAGCATTACTTTTTTTCCCATTGAGATCTGATGTGTTTCCAAAGTGTTCCTTTAATTTTTTTGAGCAGTGTATATGAAGTCCTGAATGGCGGTTAGCACCGATGATTTTTTTCCGCAGTCCTGACTGTCTGTTGTATTCTATTCCCGTCCTGTTTGGTGGCAGAACCAAACCAGACAGTGATGGATGTGCAGAGAACAGACTGGATTAGTGCAGAGTAGGGGTGGAGCGGTACACCGGTATCAGTTATTACCGGTGTGATTGTGCGCTACCATATGGATTTGCGCTATACCGCTAACACCGTGAGGAGTCAACAGCCCAATTATACAACAGCCTATAAATAAAAATAAAGTAATTTATTTTCTTCCAAGCTTCAGATGTAATCTGAATATTTGTTCTTATACAGTATATGTTACCGGTTAATCTGCGTTGTGTGAATTTTCTGTTAAATATACTCTGACGCCGTGTCCTGATAATACGTTTAATAAATTCAAAAGCAGATTTCAAACGGATTTTGTATGAAGGGCCATTTAGGAAATATTTCAGACGTTTGTTACTCAAACACATTTGAAACACATACACATTCACATATGAAACTGTCACACATATATTAAACACTCATACAGGTGAAATGGACTTACACACTTATGGACTTATGAAATGCTCATACAGATACAGGTGAAAAGGATTCACACATACCCATGAAATGCTCATACAGATACAGGTGAAAAGGATTCACACATACCCATGAAATGCTCATACAGATACAGGTGAAATGGTCTCAAATCTTAAGCGGGATCTGTGTGCGCTTTTTACGTCTCATTATGGCGGATTTAAACAGGGACCATGTAATGACGCAGGCTGTCGGTTTGTTGATTACAATTTGAAGCTGATCTTACCTCGCTGTTTCGTGGTGACAGCCAAAATTTAGAAAAAAGTAACACCGTGTAATACGTCCAAAAAGTGAAAAATACCATGATAATTTTGCAGACATAGTGCTGTTGCACAGGGTGATGGGGTCCATTGCTGGGGGGCTAATCCTGAAGTTTGCTGTCATCTCCACAGTTTTGAGCATGTTCATCTCCAAGATGTTTTGATCGCACCAGAGGGCCAGCTGTTCAGCCTCATATGTATGCAGACTCATCACCGTCCCTGATGAGGCTGAGGACCGTCATATTGTCTGCAAACTTATAACAGACTGATCACCTGATGTTTCATTTGTGTAGAGGGAGAAGAGCAAAGGGGAGAGGACACACCCCTGGGGGGTGCCAGTGCTGATTGTCTGGGTGCTGGATGTGATTTTCCCCTACCTCGACTGTTTCCTGTCTATCAGAAAGTTTGTGATCCACTGATACATGGGGGCTAGTACAGTGAGCTGGTTGAGTTGGCTGAGTGGAGGACTTCTGGGAAAAAACAGCCCCCAAGCTTTGTCCCTGGTAAGTCAAGGTGTTGCAGGATGTAGTGCAATCCCATGTTGACAGCATCATCTGCTGATCTGTTTGCACTGTAAGCAAACTGCAGGGGGTCTAGCAGGGGGGCTGTGATGTCCTTCAGGTAGATCAACACCAGTCTCCCAAACTGCAGGGGGTCTAGCAGGGGGCTGTGATGTCTGTGTAGTGCAGTGTATACTTGTGCTTAGATGGAGGAGTTGAAAAGAGATAGCCACAGGCAGGAATGATTTCCCGTGTCATTCAGTGGTGCATCTAGGTAATCTTAATCTCTTACTGAACGTCATGGAGTGGGTGTGAGATATTGTCCAGCATTGTCCTTAACTTGGACAACATCCGCCTCTCCAACACCACCTTAAGAGAGTCCAGCTCCATCCCCACAACCTTACTGGCCTTGCGGATCAGTTTGTTGAGTCTATTGGCATCCGCTACCCTAAGCCTGCTGCTCCAGCATGCAACAGCGTAGAGTATGGCATTGGCCACAACAGACTCATAGAAAATCCTGAGCATTGTCCGACAGATGTCAAAAGACCTCAGCCTCCTCAAATAATAGAGATGTTCTGGCCCTTCTTATACAGTGTAGTTGTGTTTTTAACCCAGTCCAGTTTATTGTCAATGTGTACCCCGAGGTATTTGTAATCCTCCACTATGTCCACATCGACCCCCTGGATTGAAACAGGGGTCACCGGTTTTCTGGTCCTCCTAAAGTCCACAATCATTTCCTTGGTCTTTGTCACGTCTTTGACCAGTCTCCCAAACTGCAGGGGGTCTAGCAGGGGGGCTGTGACGTCCTTCAGGTAGGTCAACACCAGTCTCTCAAACTACATGGGGTCTAGCAGGGGGGCTGTGATGTCCTTCAGGTAGGTCAACACCAGTCTTCCAAACTGCAGGGGGTCTAGCAGGGGGGCTGTGATGTCCTTCAGCTAGATCAACATTTAGTCATTTAACCATGTGATGGAGGGTTTCTTGGGGACCGGGATAATTGTGGAGCACTTGAAGCAGGAGGGACATCACATAGATCCAAAGATCTGTTCAAGATCTGTGTGAAGATGGGGGCCAGTTGGTCGGCACAGAAACTTTCCCAATAAACAGCAAATCATCCAGACTTAAGATGTGTGGTGCACGCATAGATATAACATTAAGGTATCATTTCTGATACCGTAATTCTGATTTCTTCTTCAAGGCTATTTTGAGAAAAAAATGGTCAACTTTTACTGTGCCATTTTCAAGAAAAAGCACTTTGAAATGTGTAGTTTTGTGTTATAAGTCAAGTTTGATAGGACATATCTCTGAATTTCCCCATAATGTATAAGCATGTCATACTTCCTGAAAGGTAAGCTATTTCCAGACAAAATTTGGTTTGGATTTCATTGTATCTTTTCCTGAAAATGGCACAGTAAAATGTAATCAAATGTTGTGTCAAAATAGCTTGGGACCTTACCTTTCATTAGTTACACGACGCTTAAACCTGGCTCATATAATACAAAATAACATTTCAAAGTGCATTTTCTTGAAAATTGTATGGTGAAAGTTGACCAAATTTCATCTGAAGAAAGCTTGGGACCTTGAATTTCAGAAGATATAAGACGTGTTCATACATTATGGGAAAATTCTGAGATATGTACTATCAAATTTGGTTCACATAACCAAATGAGTATAAAACCTTTTTTCAAAGCGCCATTTCTTGAAAATGATACAGTAGAAGTTGAGCATATTTTGTCTAGAAATACCCTAGGACCTTATCTTTCAGATGGAATAAGACTGTTTATACATTATTGGGAAATTCTGAGAAATGCCCTGTCAAATTTGGCTCATATAAACAAATGCGTATCGGATTTCAAATCGCATTTTCTGGTGCACCATCTTCACAATGCCTCAGAAACAATAAGCTGGTATATTCATGTATATGACTGATATGACTACGTTCACATTACAAGCCTCATTGTTTATCTTAAGAGCTTGAATCGAAGGCAAAAGGACTTCAAGTCCTTAAGATTACCATGTCCTGGTCGACTGAGAACCTACACAGACGTAAATCCTCATTGTTCAATTACTATTTTTTCTCAGATCGGATTTGCCTTGCTTGACGTTTGACATTCTTAATTACAAATGACCTGTACCTAACGGTAATGGGAACGCATCTGCCCTCCGAAACTGCACGCACACACACATCGGTACATTATATCACCGCTGTAGCTCTACTATAGTGTTGTGCTGTGCTGCCGGTGCTGGCTGGTGACGACACCGCTCAGCGCATGCGTATAGGCAAAAACCACATGAATTCTTATCTGACCGTCCACTTTCATGTCGCATGGCCGCGAACCGGACACATCCGATTTAGGACCACATATGAATGTAATTCAAATTTGATTTGAAAAGGTAGGATTTCAGTGTCCATGGAGAACTGAAAATGTAAGATCTCTGTCACATCAAGCCTGGTAATGTGACCGTAGCCTAAAGCTGTCATCTACAGAACCCATTTAGTATTGTCACGTGACATCAAACATGGAAGTTCCACATACGTACATTATCCAGCTGCTCGATCAGCCGGCCCCACGAATAATTACACAGGGAATGCCATAATTTTATTAAAATATGAAAATGATTGTTTTACATCGGAAATCAATTCAATTTTATTTGTATAAAGTATTTTCACAACATTACATTGTCTCTAAGCGCTTTACATGATCCCTGCCCAAAGTCCCAAAGGAGATCATAAATTCGTTTAGCACCATCATGGTTACTGCCTTTTAGTTCTTTGTTCTGGATTCTTAAACACCTAAAACCTAAGTTGTCGAGTTGTAAGCCTGTTCCAAAGGATATATACCGTTCCGCCAAAACATTGTGAGCACCCCCCACATGACGTGAATAAGATTGATAAAAACAGAGCATGCCAAGCACTGTGATATATTACAGTGGATATGAAAAGTGTACACATCCCTGGTAAAATGCCAGGTTTTTTTGTGATGTAAAAAATGAGACCATGATAAATCCTTTCAAAACTTTTCCCACCTTTAATATGACCTATAACCTGTACAATTTAACTGAAAAAAAACCAAACAAATATGTTAGGAGTGGAATATAAAAACATACAATAAGATGGTTGCATAATTATGCACACCCCTAAACTAAGAAGGCTTCAACTCCATTTTGACATTCTCGCCTGCTCGCGACACGCCCTCCCATAGAAAATGAATGAATTCCGGTCGCTTTGACGCTCT